CAGCGACTTTGCACTGTATTTTCGTATGGTATTTATTGTTGTATTCTAGTTTTCCTGGTCTCATTTTATAGAATGGAAGACATATTACAGAAATCGAGATGGTTTTGACTGGTTTTACAATGAAAATTACCTTGAAATTAAGCTCAAAATAGCAGAAATGTTCGATTTTTACCAAAGTTCAAAAGTAAACAAATCATGCCCGGGTATATTCCTAAATCAGATAATATTATAAACTAGTGGAATCTTTAATTTAGCTAATATTAAAGAAACCCCGAGTATAATTTTAAGTGGATAATACATATAAATTAATCTCATTATGACCTTGGTCATAACATCCTCCCTCCTCCCCCCTCCTCCTCCTCCTCCCTCCTCCTCCTCCTCCCTCCTCCTCCTCCCTCCTCCTCCTCCTCCCCCCCTCCTCCTCCCTCCTCCTCCTCCCCTCCTCCTCCCCTCTCCTCCTCTCTCCCCTCCCTCCCATCCTCCCTCCCTCCTCCTCCTCCTCCTCCCTCCTCCTCCCCTCCCCTCCTCCCTCCTCTCCTCCTCCCTCCTCCCCTCCCCTCCCTCCTCCTCCTCCTCCCTCCTCCTCCTCCTCTCCCCTCCCTCCTCCCTCCTCCCCCTCCTCCTTCCTCCCTCCTCCTCCCTCCTCCTCCTCCTCCTCCTCCTCCCTCCTCTCCTCCTCCTCCTCCTCCTCCTCCCTCCTCCTCCTCCTCCTCCCTCCCTCCTCCTCCCCCCCCTCCTCCCTCCTCCTCCCCTCCTCCTCCCTCCTCCCTCCTCCTCCTCCTCCCTCCTCCCTCCTCCTCCTCCTCCCCCCCCTCCCTCCTCCTCCTCCACCTCCTCCTCCCTCCCTCCCTCCTCCTCCTCCTCCCCCTCCTCCTCCTCCTCCTCCCTCCTCCCTCCTCCTCCCTCCTCCTCCTCCTCCTCCTCCTCTCCTCCCTCCTCCTCCTCCTCCTCCTCCCTCCTCCTCCCCCCCTCCTCCTCCTCCTCCTCCTCCTCCCCCCTCCTCCTCCTCCCTCCCTCCTCCTCCTCCTCCTCCTCCTCCTCCTCCTCCTCCTCCCCCTCCTCCTCCTTCCTCCCCCTCCCCTCCTCCTCCTCCTCCTCCTCCTCCTCCTCCTCCTCCCTCCTCTCCTCCTCCCCTCCTCCCTCCTCCTCCCTCCTCCTCCCTCCTCCCTCCTCCTCTCTCCTCCTCCTCCTCCTCCTCCTCTCCCCCCCCCCCAATTTCAGTACCTAATAATACTGTCAGAACAAAGATTGGCTGTGAAATGACAAGAACTACTATAAATTGTAATTACCAGAACATAAAAATTATATAAAATAATATGAAAAATAGAAAAAAAGGTATATCGGCATCACTTCTGCAAGGGGCAGGACTCGATGTTGCTGTCACGTGAGCATCCAGTGCCAACTTCTCGGCGTCATATCTCGGTAAGTACTGACCCTAAAAAGTTTTTTTTATCCTATAACACTTAGAAAAATGTGCTCTTTTTTTCAATAAAAAAAAAACGATTTTTTATTTTTCAAAATATTCGGGGCACTGGGGTACTGAACGTATATATGTATATGTTTGGACCGTTTATGGGTTAATATATGATAGTGTAAACTTTACAGCGATTTTCGCTTTACAGCAGTGGCACGGAACCTAACCTGCTGTATAAGCAGTGCTCTTCTGTATATACAGTGGACCCCTGCATAACGATTACCTCTGAATGTGACCAATTATGTAAGTGTATTTATGTAAGTGCGTTTGTACGTGTATGTTTGGGGGTCTGAAATGGACTAATCTACTTCACAATATTTCTTATGGGAACAAATTCGGTCGGTACTGGCACCTGAACATACTTCTGGAGTGAAAAAATATCGTTAACCGGGGGTCCACTGTAGTAGGTTCTTGATGTAAGATGTTCTGGTTTTACCACTCAAGCACTTGGAACCAGTTATTGAGTTATGAACAACTATTCACTTTTCCATTATGCAGGATTACACTTGCCTCTACTTTGAATCCAACATCACACATAAAAAATCAGTGTTTTCCATGTTTTGCCAAATAAATTAGAACCACGAATGCTTAGTTTTGGCTTAGGCCATTCCAGTAATTGAAGCAGCTTGAAGCCCACAAGACTGACCCAGGAAGGGTTAGGTGGGACTCTACTCTTCAGGAAAAACACCAGAAAATCAAATATTTCTGCCACTTTGAGACCTATTTCAGCACACTTATGGTCCACTTAAGGTCCATATTGATGGTGTTTAATACAGACCGATGTAAGGCTCTAGTCCTAGGAAAAGAAAATAACATGAACTTGTATACTAAATAATGTAGATTTTAGTCAAACTGGATGCAAAAAAAGATTTAGGAATTCTAGTTAACAGAAATTTAAAAGTCGGCACAATAGTGCATTAGCTTCATGTTATACTTTTAAACTTAATACATATTGCTGCTCAGTACTGGTCTCCATGTAAAAGAATGGACATGTGCCAGAAATTTTAAAGAGAAGGATGGTGAAGCTTATGTTGTGTCAAAAACCTTTCCTAAGAAGATTGTGTGGTGGCACAAAATTTGAACTCGGGAAAAACTTTGAATTGTGTGTGTGTGTGTGTGTGTGTGTGTGTACTCACCTCACCTAGTTGAGGTTGCGGGGTCGAGTCCGAGCTCTGGCCCTGTGTGTGTGTGTGTGTGTGTGTGTGTGTGTGTGTGTGTGTGTGTGTGTGTGTGTGTGTGTGTGTGTGTGTGTGTGTGTGTGTGTGTGTGTGGGGAGATATGTTTGAGGTGTACAAATGGAAAACTACAAAAAAAAAAAAAAAAAAAGTCTTAACCCTTTACCAGGCCTGGAGAGGGGTAATTACCCTTTTTCCACTCCAGGTCTGGTAAATAGTTAAAACAGGACTCCAAGAAGTGTCTTCAATTTGGATAAATTTAGATTTAGAAAGGATACAGGGAAACTTTGTTTTGTCATTAGAGTTGTACAAACTCACAAATAATGCCATTGAAGCAACAATTTTAGGTAGCTTTAAATACAGGTTTAACAAGTATATAAGTGGGTGTGGTTGAGTGTAAATTGGAACTGCCTAGCATGGGCCAATAGGCCTATTGCAGTTTTCTACTTTTCTCATATTTTTATTTTGTTTTTATCCCAAATCTTGAAGAGCTTAAATAGTAGTCTTTTATCATTTGTGCCAAAAAAGTAACATACATAACAAAGAGCCATTGTGAGCCCTACAAAAGTTTTCTGACAGTGAACAAGACTTACAAGATGTGTGTCACGTTGCTATTGCAATCACAGCATTTAGGTACTCATCTGCTCAATACTAGCCTGGTTTTCAACGCTAGTTCACATTGCTCAGTCAACACATCAAGGCATATTGTCTGATCAGAAAGCAGAAGTTGCTTTTCATGCCTCTAAATTTTAATTTTGATATAAGTGGAACCCCGAGTTTCGAACATTTCAAGTTTCGACCACGTTTTTCGCACCAATTTTGTCCCGAGTATCGAACGTGCCCTGTATTTCGAATCGCGTACCAGACCTGTCCACCTGCCCCCTGCCCGTGTGCCTTCCCGCGCAGGCGTCGGTGAGTCAGTCTGGCTTTGTTTCTTAAATGAACATTACATTATATACTAGGCATTTAAAGTGCCCTAGAGCAATAAAGTGCATATACAGTACACTCATTGCTTACCTTAAAATATTTGTAGTCTTAATGATCTTAATATAGGGTGCAAGGCGAATAGTAAGGTAGGTAGGTATCGAAGTTTGGTATGTATGTAACCCCCATCTGGCCACCCCACCCCACACATTATATAGTAGGCATTTAAAGTGCCCCGGAGCGATGAAATGCATATACAGTACACTCATTACTTACCTTAAAATATTTGTAGCCTTAATGGTCTTAATATAAAGTGCAAGGTGAATAGTAAGGTAGGTAGGTATCAAAGTGTGGTAGGTATGTTTGCGAGTTTTGTAAACAAACCAGTTGTTGTTGTTGATACCAGCCTGGACACGAATGGTTTTTGTTCACTTTGTCAAGCCAACTGGAAAAACACCTCATATTTATGTTAATTTATATGTTTTTATGTTACGTAGTGTGCTTATTATATAATTTTGAAAAAAATATCATAGATGGATTAAGCAAAATGTCCATATTAACATTTTATATGACATTTAATGTGCCTCAGAGTGATTATTATTGTATTATTATTATTATTATTATTATTATTATTATTATTATTATTATTATTATTATTATTATTATTATTATTATTAATATGGCATCTTCATGACTAATAACACACTCTTAATGATTTTAATGTGTTCCTGCATGCCAGCACAGGTGCAAGTTGTGGAGTTTAAAGCCTATCTTCTGCAAGGTATGTAAATGGTGTACGTACACCATTTCATTTCTACATTATGGTTTTCTTATGAAAGAAGTGATCTAATGCAGTTAGCATTACAAACTCTGTTTTCTCTTATACTAAAACGTCTGAAGGAGGAAATAATGGGAAAACATTTTCATAGCTGGAGCAAGAATGCCTGCGACCGTGTCCTCCCCCGCCACCACATACGTAATGACATAGTACATTTTTCTTATTTAAAAACCCTTAACAAAAAACTTTTTTTTTTTTTTGGGGGGGGGGGGGCTGGAATGGATGAATGGCATTTCAGTTAATTTCAATGAGGAAAATTGATTTGATATACGAGTAAATTGAGTTATGAGCTGGGTCACACAATGAATTAAACTCGTAAGTCAAGGTACCACTGTATAGTATAATAAATAACCACAGTGACCTCATATATCCCTGCTGAAGGCCTAATGTAAAATAGTCTCCTTCTCTTTATACCCTCGTTCTCCTTGTAAAAACTTTTCACATCTATTTACCTACCACCTATTTCAAATATGCATCACCTGCAACATTGCTCCCCTATTCACCCTATCTTATATTAGTTCTAAATACATTTAAGTTGTCTTCTGTATTATTCATACAAGAAAGTAACTAATACTTTTTTTTTTTTCAGAGGGCTTCTGTGTACTCCATTTCCAAGTGATAATACAAGTCATATTTAGAATATTCTTAAACAATGGACAACACAAAGGTAAGTTTTCATCATCACTCTAGCTACCTGGAAGGGAAAGGATGGATAAGTAAGATAGTGTAGACACCTTGCTTAACCTCTAAACGGTCCAAGCGTATATATATGTTCTTACTGCTAGCGCCCCAAACCTATATATACGTTTTATTTTTCTTGCCTCCAAATTTGGCATGATTGGCCTGAGATGCCTGGTCAGCAGAGAATGGGTCTTAACACTCGGTGTGCACCATATTAAAAAATCTGGGACCACTTAGTACCTTGTGAGAGCATCAGTTAAATTGAGCCTTAGCTAGAGCAAACAGTGTGGCAAACACCAAGGATTCACTGATGTAATGCCATATTAACACTCTTCTTTTAAGAGGAAAGTGATGTTAACCCCAAGTTTAGGGTCTATCTGTCTCTGTCCATCTTTATCTCTGTCTGTCTATCTCTGTCTGTCTGTCGCTATCTCGTTTTATCTGTCTCACAGGTACACACAAATACAATTATACATAGTGTAAATTACCTAGGAGAACCTAAAAAATCCGAAGTGCTATACTGTACTTGTAGATATAATGAATAAGAATGCCTGTTGGTTCACAGTCGCTCTCTCTGAGACAAAGAGAGAGACAGATAATCAGAGACAAATGTCAAATGTCACTCCTTATCTCTGTACCCTCGCTGGTGCCCATCAAATGTCATCCCTTATCTCATCTTATCTCTGCACTGTCTCATTTTATCTCTGGACCCTTGCTGGCACCCATCAACTGTTATCCCTTATCACATCTTATCACTGCCCTCCTGGATGCTTGTCACTAACACTTGTCTTACACATTGCTTCAAGGGAACTTCCTTCTTCTTACTTCTATCTTCTTCCTTCTTCTATACTCCCGTGTATCCAAAACATTGCTGGGACCTATAAATACTTCATATATATTCCTAGACAATAGTAAATGACGAAGGCAGGTGTAAATGCCCACTTGTCGATGTGTTTGTGACAATTTGAGTACAATTTCAGTACCTAACATTAGTGTCAGAACAAAGATTGGTTATGAAATGACAAGAACTACAATAAATTGTAAGTATCTGAACATAAAAATTATATAAAATAATATAAAAATGAGAAAAAATGGTATATCGGCAACACTTCTACAAGCAGCAGGACTCGATGTTGCTGTCAGGTGAGCATTAATTAAGTGCCAACTTTGCAGCCTCATATCTCAGTAAGTACTGACCCTAATTTTTTTTATTTTAATCCTATAACACTTAGAAAAATTTTCTCTTTATTTCAATGAAAAAAAATTATTTTTTTATTTTTCAAAATATTCGGGGCACTGGGCGATAGAACATATATACAGTGGACCCCCGCTTAACGATCACCTCCCAATGCGACCAATTATGTAAGTGTATTTATGTAAGTGCATTTGTACGTGTATGTTTGGGGGTCTGAAATGGACTAATCTACTTCACAATATTCCTTATGGGAACAAATTCGGTCAGTACTGGCACCTGTACTGGGTCCACTGTATATACGTTTGGACCTTTTAGGAGTTAAAAATAAACAAAGAAAATTACATAAAGTGTAGAATTGACTTTCTGGACACTCCTCTATGTACTGCTTCTCTCTATTTTCAAGTAAATAAATGATATAGTTCTCAGACATAGAATATTGTTTTGTATTGCAGCTGTGGATAATAATGCTTTATGCTTTTTTGTAACATGTTTGTGATGACTTATTGCAGAATTTCTTGTGATGCACATAATAGTCAGAGGTAAATAATCCAGGGCACAGATATGTATTAGCAGTCATAAATTAATTTCTTTTTACAATAAAAAATACACAAATCTTTACCCTAACTACCTCCATGTCTTTCCCTTCACCTGGTGGGAAGGGTTGCAATGGCCATTTGTTGGGTTGAAGGAATGTGACAGTTAAAAGATCATTGTTAGGCTTTATTAACCCAACTGCTGAATGGAAACAAGAGGTAATTATTCTAAATGATAGAGCTTGACTCACAGCTAATGTTCTCTATATGTAATTATTTTTTTTTCCACTCGGTTCTTAACTTGTTCATAATAAATCTGTTAGATTTTACTGAGCATTTTTAATGTTAAATTCATAATGGGCTAAATTTTATTCTTTGCAAGATGCTGGAATAGCATATCTTTCATTTTAGTCATGCTAGTTTTCCTGTGGAATATTAATAAATTCTTGTTTTTCGGGTTATTACAACCACTCATAATGTTTCTGTAATTACAGTATTGAATATCTTTATTGATTGATTGCTCTTCCATCTTCTTACACGGATTAACATTTGAGATAATTTGCTTGAGCTGAGGCTCATACCTGATGGAGTGTTTAAAAAGTGAAGAATAAATATCACAGAACCATAATTGGAACAGGTCACAACTGATCCCAGTTAGAAATGGAACTTCAGACAATGTTTCAGTCTGTCCTGGACTTGTATCTTTATAAATGTCTGGGAAGGACCAAAACATCAGCCAAATTCTTCATCTTCAAATCATGCATTAGTTTAGAAAGCAGGTTAACTTTGTAAATGCTTGTAATTTCTAGTGTTGTTTGATCTCTTCTTTTGCTTCATGGAAGTTTTATCATCGAACGGTATGATTTGATTAGTGGATTCTTTCTTGGCAGCAGTAATTAAAATTTAGTCTGTCAGAAATGGAATACACAGACATTACTGAAGTATCTGACCAATACTACTGGTAGGTTAAACTGCTCCACAAAAATATGTGAGTTTTAGATAAAAGTTTTTGAGTATGTTGCCAGAATTCAAATACAAAAGTAGCTACTGTTAGTTTCTAGTTTTAAAGAGACAATTTATAGTACTTTGGCAGGTAACAATTATAATGTAAGGCACACTCATTTGGGTATGGGGATGTCAAAGCTATTTTAATTTTTATTTTATAAATTAAAATGAATTCTACCCTGTACTCCTCTGCTTCTTATACATTAGAGTAGTATATATTATTTTTTACACGTTTTATGTATGTAATCACAAAAGTAGTAATATTCCAAATGCTCTTAACATTATCAAGATCACAAAATCACTTGGAATATTACTGCTCTTCACTGTAGTTATATTCCATACCAAGATACATTTTCTTGTGATTTGTATTGCAATCAGAAGGGTTTAACTCTTCAACTGTCATTCATGTAGTTGTGTGTTATGAGGCCAGTGTTGCTTATGTAGATCTACTTGTAAATTAGAACACCCTCAGATTTGCTGTTAGCAGTAAATTTTGGCCTAGACATGAAAGAATGGGTCTGTGTTGTGGGTGTGAGTGGTATAAAAAAGATTCTGCCAACACAGTGCATGATGGGATCAACTAACCTCTTGACCTTGCATTTTCTCGGGTTTTTATGGTTTTCTTGGCTGCTTCTCAGTGTCATTTGATAAACTGGAAGACATTCTAGTGATATGGAGAATATTTTGGTTAGTTTCAGACTTTAACCCTTTGAGTGTTTTGGTCGTATATATACGTCTTACGAACCACCGTTTTTGACGTATACTCATAAATTCTAGCGGCTTCAAATCAAGCAGGAGGAAGCTGGTAGGCCCACATGTGAGAGAATGGGTCTGTGTGGTCAGTGTGCACCATATAAAAAAATCGTGCAGCACGCAGTGCATAATGAGAAAGAGAAAACTCTGACTGTTTTTTTAATTAAAATGGCGAATTTGTGGTCTATTTTCGTATAGTATTTATGGTTGTATTCTCGTTTTCTTGGTCTCATTTGATAGAATGGAAAACTATGAAAAGAACCTTGAAATGGAGCTCAAAGTAGGGAAAATGTTTGATTTTTGCCAATGTTCAAAGGTAAACAAATGATGTCATTTTCCAATAATTGTCCAAGTAGCCATTCTAATATGCAGTCATGAATGGGTTGACATTATTTATACAATGATTACAATATTGCAATAGTCTGCATAACAGTAAATCTTCTATTTTTTGTTTGAATAAAAATTCAAAATAGAAAGCAAGAGTAATATCAGAGGGGCCTGGAGACATGACTGATGAACAAAGAAAATGTTATTTTAGAGCCAGGAATATCTGCATTGTTCATTCTGGACCCTATTTTGAAATTGTCATATTTTTTAATTTTCGTGAAATTGGCCAAATTGCAAATTTCTGACCACGTTATTGGGTAGTTGAAATCGGTAAATGGGCAGTTTCTTGTACTCATTCGATAGAAAAAATGGAGTTCTGAAGAAATAGCTATGAGTTTGGTCGACTGGAAGAATGGAATTAGCCGAAAATTGGGCTCAAAGTGGGCGAAATCGCTAATTTGTAAAATCGCCGAGGCCGCTAACTTCACGAGAGCTTAATTCTGCCAGTTTTCCATCAAATTTCATTCTTTTGGTGTCATTACAACCAGGAAAAGATTCTCTATCATTTCATAAGAAAATATATATTTTTTTTTTTTTGGGAAATTTTGCGACTCTAAGAGACACCTCAGGATTTGGGGTTGCGACAGTCAAGGGGATAAGTGGCCTGAAATGGGCCTCATTGTGGCAGAAATGGTTTATTTTTGGTGATTTTCCTGAGGAGGGTTAGTGACCTCCTGTACACTCCCGGTATGCTTTCTGAGTTTATACTAGGTCGTCATTTTTTTTATTAGGACTGCTATAATCATGACCAAGCATTCTTGGTTATGGTCTATAATCTGAGAAATAGGGAAAAATGTTGAATTTTTGTGTGGTGGTGGATTCAGAATAGAGAGGACTGGGGACATGATTAATGAATTTAGGGGCATGTTGTTTTATTGTCTGGAAAGCCCACAGTATTAATAATAATTTAAAAAAATAGTGCAGATTTAGCTAAATTACAGATTTCTAGGTTCTTAATAGGATAGTTTTGATGGTTGAATGAGTAATTCGTTGAAATCGAGGGATAAAGATGCCTTATTAATCTTAAATTGGTCTTAAGTTTTCCCAAAATGCTCTGCATATTAAGGGGCTTTTGGCATGTACACCCAGTTGTCATGCTCCTTTGTACAAACA